TTGTGGCTTTTATCTTGCCAGTGGTGCTTCCTAAAATTTGTGGCTGTCCACATACCATTTGGAAATGTGTTGAATGGCTCACTGTTTGATGCTCACATCCTCAGTTGTTGAAATCCACGTATTTCAAGAATTGGTTCAAGTAACTGAATGAGCTAAAAGCAGGTACTTGTCTGTGGGGAGAGAGGTTGTAGAATAGCAGGATTGATGAGAGATCTCTTTACAGTACAGAGACAGCTGAAAGACATCAATTCCCTGGCTTTCATGCAGTGCTGCAGCATTTCTTTTACTTCTGAGTCTCACAGACTTGACACAACTGGTCCATGAGCTGCTCAGCCATGTCTTCCATGTGTTTGGGAGAGGGAGAGGAAGAAGAACTCTATGTACATGATTTTGCTGATATTGAAATAGGTGGGCGAAAGGATCTATGACTGAGCATGTGGTGCTCTGGACTGGACAAGCATAGTGTTTCTGATGGGAAATCTGTCACTATTTTAGCTTTGCCACTGCTGTGTTTAAATTTCATGTTCTTTAACATTGTTCAGTTGATACAATGGGAGAATAAACACACAACACCAAGGCCTGTGTTATATCCTGATCAAAAGTGAGAGAAAATGTGAATGTCATTACTATAAGTGTAGAGGATATATCTAATCTTGATTGATCTAGTCCCAGTTGTCCCCATTTCAGCTCTTGTATAGATTTGTTTGCAAGTTAACAGTTTATACTGCACTAAATGCCACCAAATTAGTTGCAAAAAAGCAAAGTAAAAATTCACACTTCTATAATTATATTCTGGTTTATAATTGTATTTATCTCCTGTAACCCAGCTGAGCATTTCAGTAATTTGTGTGTTTCTTTACACTGTTGCATACTCTAAAGAGATTATGGAAATAATGTGAAAGCTGATAGGAAAGCAAAATCATAGTTTTTAACACCTATTTTCATTCGCTATTGATGATGGCAAAATCTAATGAGTCTTTCTCAGTCCTGGGCCAAAATGTTGGTGGAAATGACTGATTGTGTCTAAATTATGCTAAATTGAATACTGAAAATTATTCTCTTCTGCATGTGAATAGAAATTTCCTCACAGGTATGGACACAAGAAACTTAAAATTCTTCTCTTTGGTTACTTTTCTATCAATAAGAAAAATAATAATTTTTTTAAAAAATCCTGCAGTTTAGTTGTCCAGGGTCTGATTTTGAATTACTGAAATATATTGAATGCACACACAATTAAAACTCTTTTTAAGATGGTTTAGGCTTCCAGCAGAAGGATAAATCATAGGTGGACTTCATCTGGGAAGCTTAATGCAAAATTGAGATGGGTTATTCAAACAAAGAACTCAAAACTAGTGATTAAGATGAGCTATGGCTAAAAGGAGGTTTCATGCCTACTAATCTCATCTACTTGATGAACTAGAGATTATTTTAGAGTAACAATAACATAATAATCAATCACAAGGTGTATAACCTTCTAAAATTAAGTTCTGTGTTCATGAAGTCATAATTTTCTGTCTTAAACTGTCTTGTTGTGGAAGTGATAAACATGAGGCTTCCATACTGTTTTAATGTTTGCTGTACACCCAGCCTAGGTAGGTCTGCACATCTAATTGTGACTCTGCAGTGATTTGAGCAGATCGTGCACTTCATACGTTCACTGTCGTGTGTTTCCAAGTGACCTGCAGGTCTTCCTGAATACATGTCAGCATATTTTTGTGCCAGATCACAAACTGAGTAATCCAGTGCCTCTGGATTTTGGTCACTTTATTTGTATTTATTGTGGCTGGCTTTTACACACTCTAAGCAACACCAGTGGAGCTGACGGTGCTTATATATTGAAGAAGGGTCACTATAAAAATGACTAGAAGATGATATGTGACTAGGGAATGAATATTACTCATTCTCAGAGAAATGTAGCAACCAGATGGACAGAATATTGGGCTGATAATGTCCATGTAAAAGATATTTCAAGAGATGAGAGCTAGAAATAAAAAGTATTTTGAAAACGTATGCATTTACTCAGAATTGCAGAAGCTAAGGATTCTTGCTTTTCCTTTCCATTATTAGAACAGGCTACTGCCACATATGTCCTGTTGTGTTCTCCGTTTGTATTCCTGATGGAGGCTAGCAGCTGGGGCTGGATTCACTTGCTGAAATGTGTGAGTGTGAAACACTTGGGATGCTGTAGGGCATCATCTGGCTGCTTATGCCATGAAGTGTGAGTCTTGCCCAAATTACCTATTTAACATTAGATGTGTGTGGGTATCTTGAACATACCAGAGTAAATACTTGTAGGTGCTTGTATTAGGCACTTGAGTTGGACTTCTAATTCTTCTTGCTTGTGTCATTTCATCAATGGGTTTTATTCATGTGTGGGAGATAGATATAATTTGTTTTGTATAGTAGGTTTATAGCAGGATGAAATTATGCTTCACTGATATATTTAAACTCTGATCAATCATTTGAACTGTGTGTGGTTTCTTTCTTGCTACAATGGTGAAAAAGCTAGCCTGCCTTTTTTTTTTGAGATTGCTCCTTTCCAATAGGAATAAGAAATCTTGAAGTTATATCATTATTTAATATTCATGTAATGCTCTTTAATTATTAGGGAAGCATATAGATCTTTCTTTGTCTTCAATCAAAAGAAACACGTTCTTATCTGTTATACATGTATGTAGAAATGCAGCTTTATCCGCAGTGATCTTCTCAGATTCCAGCTGGATTTTACAGTGTATGTGTACATAATTTTTTCCTCAGATTTCAGTTTTTATTCATGTGTCATAGTGAAACATATCTATTTCAGAAAGTAAAATGCCTACATCCATGCTTTTGTCATCTACTCATGAAAATTAAAATCATGTTGATTTTTCTAAGGAAAAGAAATAAAATTTCATTTACAAGTCAGCTATGTAATATTTGAAATGCAGGAGGCTGTTAAAGTAGTATATTTAGCTATAAAGTTGAACCTTTCACTTCAAATAGATTAACGTGTAATTACTGTAGAGACCCATAGGAAAATTTTCATGTTCTAGAATTTTTGTTTCCTTGCTTTGTTTTAATTCTGCTTAGTTTGTACTATTTAATAGGATGACGATTGATTTTCAGTTTCAAGTTTAAACTTAGAATAAGAATTTTATGTCCTTCACTTGATGAGTCTGAGATATGGAAGAAAAAATAGTCTTTTTTAAAAAAAGGAAAGTGAGAGCTGTGAATTAAAAAAATTGTATTCTTAATTTACGTTCCTAGCTTGCAGAGAGTACCAGCTGGCATTTTCAAGCAAAATTGAGGAATTTTTGTTATTGTTCTTTTTTCTTTTCTCCTTTCTTCTGTCAGCCAGCTTAACACTTTTCAGAGCCCCCATTTGCCTGCATTTCAGTTGTGATACCTTTCCTGTGTGTTTGAGAGGTCTCCAAGATCCCTTGTAATTTTTTTCCCTTATGTGTAGTTGTTTGAGGAGCATTTACAGTAGTACAGGGGTTTTTTGCCTCTATTTTAAGGCAGGAGGTTTTTGTGAACCCTTTGGTGCTCTGTTAAACATTCCAGACAAGTATGTTGGGTCTTCATGTGATCTTTTTGCCCAGCATCCCCTCTAGTTACTGAGAGGAGACATGGACTAGAGCACTCTGACAGGTGGCAGAGAATCTATTCTGCACTGCTGTAGGTTCACACCATGGTGAAATGGCCCCTGTGTTTCTCATTCACTTTCAGATGAGACTCATCTGCTGATCTCAGGATGACATTACTGCGGTGAAGTAAAGAGTGTTTGTCAGACTGCAGGGAAGGTCTTGGCATCTGTTGTAGTCACGGGCTCCGTGCTTTTCTTTTCAGACTGTTCTTCATAGTACCTCTGTTAAAGCTTAACTCCTGCATAATTCTTATGTATTCAGGAAGTGACACAATATTTATATGAATAATTTCAGCATTTTATTATCTCCATTAAAAATATTTTACATGGCAAAGGACACGTTGATAAGTGAAGTCCCTAGTTTCTCTAAATAAATCTCGTAAGAGCAACTTCTTTCTTTCCTTGATTTTGCCTTTTATTTCTAAAGTGATGATAATAGACATATCTTTAGAGATACAGAAGGCAGAGACATGCATGCAAAGGAAATTAAAACATGGTTAACAGCAGTAGCTGACTTTTCAGAGGAGATTACTTAAAAGATAAACACTCTGGTAGAAAAGCCAGTGTTTGAGATCTTTGCTGAAATGAAGACAAGAGCTGGAAGTACATGTCATCCCCATATTAGTGTTAAATTCAATGCTAATTACCTTCTTTTTAAAAAATGTGTAGGGGGAGGAAGGAAGGAAAGGATGAATTGTTTGTTTGTATTTAAAAAAATATCTTTAAACCTAATACCACCTTTGAGATATAAGCTGATAGTATAACTGCCAAAATTGAGTCTGAAGTTTGCTCTTGTCTGAAATCTACTGGAAATACAAGTGAGTGTGTTTTGCTTGAGTAATCTCTTGTAAATGCAGTGGTGCCAGCAGCTCTGTAATAATGACCATAATGTCTTTGAAGGCACTTAGAAGCTTCCTCTCAAAGGCACTCTTAAATAATTAAATCTTTTTTCTTTTTTTAATTTACATGGAATATGTAATGGCATCCCCCCAAAGTACCAGATTTCTTTCCTTCCTTTCTTTTCTTTCTCATGAAAAGCATAAATAGAGTATTTATATTAAGACATTGCTTGCTAACTTGGATAGTGAAGAAAGGTGATGAAAGAGCAGGTCCAGATAGTTATTTGTTGAGACGCTAAGATACATTTTTCTTAATGCAGAATGACAGCTTGAAAAACCTGGGTACCTCTGAGGTGATGGTAGAAGCCTTCGTTCCCTCCTGCAAATAAAGGGAGGCATTTTATCCACTCTGCTACATGCCCTCTGGCTCCTGGCAGTTCATGCTCTGACCTTTTATGTGGTCTCTTAGCAAGACCAGCTGTCTACTTGTTTATACATAGGTTTAAATTTCTTTTTTCTTTTATTTTTTTTTTCAGACACTGAGATTCTGTATACAAAAGTGTATGACGAGATCTGTCAGCGTTATGGAAAGAGCTATAACTGGGATGTGAAATCCCAGGTTCTGGGTAGACAAGCCCCAGAAGCAGCAGGGATTATTCGAGATATTCTAGATCTTCCAATAACCAAAGAAGAGTTATTCAATGAAAGTAAAACAATGCTGGAGAAGATATTCCATACTGCTGGGCTGATGCCAGGTATGTTTCTTTGCAGCATTTATAACCTCTTTAGGGAATTATTTAAATGCTAATCAAGGTAGAAGTTTGTAATCTGCCTTCCATAAAACTGTCACTCTTACAGATTATGTTTCATTGCTCTTGTTTTAAAAAAATTACTAAATCTGCCTTTTATTTACCTGTTTAAGAGGATATTTTGCCTTTTAATGTTGACAGATTTTTTTTTTTGCCCTGTTTACATGGAGAAAAGCTTTTTTCATGTTTTAAAAGAGCAAAAAAGACTAGATACATGTGCATGAATTCTGTTTGGTAAACTAGAGATTTTTTGTAACTGCTTTTGGCAGCTGTGTTTTACGTGGCTGTGAGCATAGTCTGACTTTGTTAAACACAGATGCATTTGCCTGCACATATAAAAGTATGTGGGCCCATGGGTTCTTTCTGTAGGAATTATTCTCGCCTAACCCAAATATTGTAATTCAAGTACAGCATCTGAGTGTGTCAGTGGAGAAAGAGGGTTTTTCAGGTTATCCTAAGATGGGAATTTCCTTACCTTCTGAAGATAAGTCTTCTACCAGTGATTGTGTAGGATGCTCAAGTGAGTAGCTTCAACAAGGTAACTCAAGATAAGCAAGAGGATGAATCTTACCTGTAGTGTGAATGCATTCTTTTGTATTGAATTACATTTAGATTTGAAATGCTTAAAGAGAAATCTTCAGCCACACAACACTATCAGTATGTAAAGCTGGGATTGCTGCTAACTTTAAGTAGAATGTTAAACTTTATGGAGCAAGTATCAATAATTTATGATGGGAAAAAAAAAAAACAAAACAGAAGGAGAGGACTATAAAAAAAGTATTAGAAGTGAAATAACTGTATGTCACTGTACATGTTTAACAGTTATTTTTTCTCTTTGAATGTGTGCTCGTTTGTTCTGACAATTTCCACAGTACATTAATATTTTAATTTTTAGGGCAACTTTTTATGCCTCGTTTCATAATGCATTAAGAAGATGAAAGTTAAAAATATGTGATATGTTAGGAATAAGTAACAAGTAGCAAAAATAAAAAAGTGTGATTTTTTTCAGCAGCTTAAAAAGCTTTAGTATATTTTGTGTCTAACTTAGTTCTCACTCTTAGTTATCTTTCTAATGTCTTTTATAAGCATGATTTTTCAAATTGCATCTCGGTCACTTACGCATCCACCTGACATTGTAAGCCTAGATAAACTTTCCAGAAAACAAGTTGTATTGATGTGTCTTTTGTTTTTCATCTCAAGCTTCTGGGACTGACTTTTCAAATATATCTCTTGCAAGCCAAACAAAAACACCTTGTATGGGTTTAGAAAATGCCAGATGAACAGACTAGGTAAAATGTTGGGTAGCACAGAGGAGATATTCCATGCCTGCTGAAGACTGTGATAATGTGGCTGAGCTGGCTTGAACAGAGTTAGAAAGGTAATGGAACAGATTAGCCAGAGGAAACATGAGGTTTTCTACTGTTTCATGAAGTGAATTTTGTTCTCATTGAAGCTGGACTATTATGGATGAAACAAGCAAAATTCGTACTAGGAGAAGCAAGTAAACATTTTCATCATCACCAAAATTGTTCAACTATTATCTTCTCAGTTCAACTAAATACACATGATAATTTTTTCAGTCCATATTCTAAAGTAGAATTGATGTGAACTAGGATACAAGCTGAATTGCCATGAATTTTGGGAAACCAGGTTGATGACAGCTAATAAGATAGGGGAAAATGTTTCCAGCTACTTACAATTCAGTTTCTTTAAGAACTGTTTACCAGTTAACCAGATTTTGTAATCCAATTCTGTCTTTTTGTATCTTCTGAGGATGTTTATTAACGGATTGTGGATTTATTCTACAGTCAATGTTGTTCAATTAAGCATGGGCTTCTTGAAAGTTTTGTGCAAGATGTAAGATTATGTTAACATTTTGAGTTTACCATTGTTCTCTGACTAAACTGATCTTTCAGATGGTTACAGGTAAATACAGGAAAGTGAAAGTTAATTGTCATGTTAGCAGTGTAAGAGGACTCTAAAGTTCTGTGTCTCTGGTCATCTTTTGACAGTTAATAGACAGGTGACATTCTATTTTTCAAACCGTTTCTAAAAGTTGTGAAAAAAATTAGATTGAAATTTGATTTGGTGGAAAGCACTGCTAAACAGTGGCCAATGATGTTTGAAAAAGTGACTCAAATAAAGTGGTACTTTTTTCTGGATGAGCTATGCACATGATCTTGCCAAAGATGATAGTGCTGTAAATTCCTAAATCAAGAAAATTACAGATATGTCAGTGATGGCTAAGGATAGTGTGGAAGTTGAATGAATATTTAATTGGCAAAGCAGTTCTTCATCTGACAAGTTAGAAACTTGTCCTAGTTCTGACTGAGATAGAGTTTATTTTCTTCTTAGTACCAGGTGCAGTGCTGTGTCTTGGATTTAGTACAAGAATAAAGTTGATAACACACTGATGTTTAAGTAGTGCTTACCCCAAATCAAGGATTTTTCATTTTCTTATGCTCTGCCAGTGAATAGGTGCACAATAAGACAGGAGGGAGCATGGCCAAGACAGTTTATCTGTTCTGGCCAAAGGGATATTCCATACCATAGCACATCATGCCCACTGTATAAACTGAGGTTGTTACCCAGGAAAGGGACCAGCTGTGGCTTGAGGATGGTAGGGGCATCAGTCAACAGGTGGTGAGCAATTGTTGCATCACTCTTCTCAGATTTTGTCTGTCTCTTCCCCTTTCCCTTTCATTTTACAACTGGTAGAATTAATATTATCATTACTACTTCATTTTTATTATTAATCTGTTCTTATCTCAACCCACAAGTTGTTTTTTTTCCTGATTCTTCTTCCTGACCTACTGGTAGGAATGCGCACAAAGTGAGAAGCTGTGTGGTACCTAGCGTCCTGCTGGGGTTAAACCATGGCACAGGCTATATGACAGGCATACCACTTAGTGTACGACACCTCTGAGACTTAAGTGGCTGAAGACAGAATCTGGGCTATTTCAGTATGACCAAACTGACAGACAAGCTTCAATACATCAGGCTGTGGTCAAAATACAAATTTCATTTAAGAAGAGGCACCATCCATTTATAATATGGAATTTTCTGGTAACTATTTGGGAACTATTTTGGGTAACTATTTTCACAGTTAGATTTATTTTTAGCTCTGAAAGAATCTTAAAGAATGGTAATTTTGATTCAGTATAGAAAGAAATTAATCCGAGAAGACACTTTAAAAATGACAGGCCTGCTGTGCTGCTTTTCTAAATATTTCTGTCAGAATACAGACATTTTTATCTACAAGAGTAATGCAGTAGTCTTTCTGTTTCTGCAAATGCATTTTGAGTTTTTCTATGTTGCAGGGAAGTGTTTAGTCAGAAGATGAGGGAATGACAAGCAGAACAGAAGAAAACCATGCATATGTATATTTACCTATACGTATATATGTGTGCTTTTGCATAAACCTAGAATATATACAGTGACAAAAACTGAACTCCAAATTATGCAACTACCAACAGTTGCTATAATCATGTCAGGATTATGAAACTACTGTTATTCTTCACTGTAGTCTCTGGGTTTTGGCTCATCATCATTATCGCAAAACACAAATCTTTAAGGATTGTGTGGCTGTGTATGCCTTTCAGACATTTTCCATTCCTGGACCGTTTTCATGATGACTGGGATTTAGTTGTTGCATCACTTCTTCAGCCAGCGCGGAATGTGATCTGTAAACTATTTTCCAGTTCAAGTATACTTGACTGTCCTTTGCAACCATGAGAAGATAATTTCATACCTCAATTTTAGTACCAAATGAAGCCAGTCAGAAAGCACAAAAAGAGAAGAAAGGATAACAGTTTAAATTTCAATGGCAACTCACTCCAAATTTCTTTTTTCTTGAGCAGTTCAATTCAACCAGAAGTCTAGTTTGCTTAACCATTGCTTTCTTGATTCACATTGTGCCCTTGACAGTTAAACAGACTTCCTACCATGAACTTTTCTCTTCCTTACTGTTTTTGTTCTAATGGTGGGAGGCTCTAGTGAGTCCATGCTGGGCTCAGTGAGCCTGTAACCCCTAGAGATTAACTAATTAGCTGCAAACTACAGAATGATGCTTCCTGTTAGGCTGATATCAAACATTTGACCTTTACATTAAGTCCTAAAGGGCTGCATCCCAAACATGCTTTTGTCAGGAAATCAGCAACATAGTTGATGCAGGTTTTGAATGATATAAAATTTAATACTTATGTTTCTTCTATGGTCATGCATGTCTCAGTATGTCCAGATTCAAATGAAAGTAATGATTTGATGAATAGGAAGTCTTTCTGAACAGAAGGGTCTCTAATACTTTTTAGGGAGCAATAAGATGAGAAGACAAAATTCCATATTTATAGTCATGGCCTTCCAAAGAGTGGGGGTAGACTGGTAGTTTCCACTTCCACTTTTGTAGCTTAATGAAAGAATGCCATACTATTGCAAAAGGCATTTTTAAACAGTATGTCATAACAAAAAAAGGAAGCAGGTTGATCTGAGAGTTGTGTTTTCATAGTTTCATGAGATTCAGAAATAGAATAGAGTAGAATATAACTATTTCAGTTGGAAGGGACCTACAAATGTCATCTAGTCCAACTGCCTGTTCAGGGCTGACCAGTTTAAAGCATTCTTGGCAATTAAACCAAGCAGTGGATAACCCCACCTCTGTCACACTGTCACCTGCACAGCAGCAATCTTGACTTCACCTAAGGATTGAGAGCAAGTGTGTAAAATTAATAGCATCAGTGATGGGCTTGCCATTGTTGTAGCACACCAGACTTCATAAAAATATTTAAAATAATTTTATTACTTAAGTTAAGAAACAGTATCTTCTTTTTCTTTGTGAAGTTGTTTTGTTTTGCTGAGTGCTCTTAGTGTTCAGAGGCTGCTGAGGTTTCTTGCCATAGATTTGTTTTTGTGAACTTAAAGATTATTATAATATTGGTTAGAAATCTAAT